CTTAACATTTAAATACAACGTATACTCTAACTTATAGCGAACTGAAAATGTTTAGTAAAGAAAATGTTTTAATTTAACTAATAGATTATGGTTTAGCAAAAAAAAAAATTAACTAATAGATTATTATAGAATAATTTAGTAAACGAATAATTTGCTCGAGAAACGAAAGCCCACTCGTGCGAGCAAAACGTGACTCGCCGCTAAACCATGTGATTACTACGCTAATTTATTTGTTTTCATTTATTTGCTGATAAAAATAAGAAATCAGTAGGCATTGGAAAAGAACAAGCAAACCTGTACTTATAGTACAAATAAATATATTAGCCGGCGAAAACAAACTTAAAATAATAAAAATGGAGTTACTTGTCCTTTATAGCTTGGTAAAAAAAATGTGGTTGAGCATAAATTTTTTTTTGTTCTTATGATTTTGACCAACCAGAAAAAGAAATTACATAACTAGTTATTGTATTTCCTCAAAATGAAAAAAAAACAAAATTGCAAGAAACCACTTTTTGTTTTATTGGATTGAAAATTGATAGAATATTTATTAAAACCAAACACATTAACTAAAATTACCCTGCCAATCTACCAGTTTTGTAATAAATTTACATGAATAAAAAACAGTAAATAATACTGGTGGTAGTAACAATAAATATTTTTTTTTTGTTAGGTTTGAAAATTAAGTATCAGAATACTGGTTACAAATTACAATAAATATAAAAAGTATTTATTTAGATATTTAAATTGTGGCAAAATATACTTTAATCGAGAGTAGTGTTACAAGTATATATAATTTGATTATATTTGTCACTCCCGAAACAAAATCTCTCACAAGTAGCTATCAAGAACAAAGGGAGCTTTGCTTTGCTCATCATCCTCTGCATTGAAAAACTACTTCCGTGTCTCCCTCTCTGTATACACACAATCACACTCTTCTATTTTTATCTTTCCTTCTCTCTATATATATCTTTAGTCTCTCTCCATTCACTCTTAACTCAGTAGTAGCACTGGTTTGTAGTATACAA